TCTACCTTTTCGGTTAGCCATCTCGAGAGAACTCCAAAGTTAAGCGTGCTAGCCTTGGAGTAGTCTTAGAATGGGTGACCTCCTGGGAAGTACTTTCTGGAATGTGTGCGAGTGAGGACAAAACACACTAAAAGGTCCCGTGTTGGTGTGTGGGGACAGATCTATCATTCCGTAGCAGCCTCGGGTCGTTACAATTGTTTTCCAAAACAACACATGTCCAAAAACGTAATTAAACACAACCGTACAAACGCGGAACCGTGTTTCATAGTTCAAAACATACAAAGAAGAAAAATATATATGTACATGATGTTGCCTTCACAAATTCGTTGTTGCCCAAAATGCGCTACTCGTGCTCCTCGAGATCTGAAAAATTCAACAACAGAGGGCTAAACATAATGTTTAGTGAATGGCTCGGGTTGAGCTCGGAGAGCCCATTCTCATGGAGAACGGTGTCAACTAGTCTCTCAATACAAGAATTTTCTTATTTTCGTTTATCCATTTTACTTTTACTCAATAATCCATTTTAGTTCATTGTTATTATTCCATACATTATCGATACCTGATAGTACTGACTCAATTCGTCAACCGACACTATCAGTTATCATTCCTATCGGTATCATCCAGTATTGACTCCACTTCGTCTACCGGTACTGAACTCAACCCTGCTTCTCTGTAATAGTACTAACTCCACATCGTCAATCGGTACTATTACAGAGACGACCACACATCATCGATACCTAATAGTACTGACTCAATTCGTCACCCGACACTATCAGGTACAATTTTCTTTCAGTATCATCCAGTACTGAATAAATTATGAAAATAAAATTGATGGTTGTTTTCGTGAATTGAAAAGTTCCAAAAAATTAAATGAGAGAAAGTAAAGTCAAAGCAAGCAATAATTCAAGAGAAGATAATCGATGGGAAAGGTCATGAGAATCGGGATTCATCAATCATGCAAGGATGCCATAGGAATTGTGGACCTAGATCATGCTCGTTCTAAAGTGAGAGATTCGAAGACTAAGGTCGGGTTCGGTTCTTTCGACCCGAAACCCGCTATCCAAGAGAGCACTCTATTCACTTTCGCGGCTTAGAGTGAAATTCCCGAATGTATTAAATTTCCTTGTCACGGTCCTAGATTGAATTGAACCGAATTTATTCGCATTCAATCTCAACTCATTCCAATGAATGCACCAATAACCAAGAATCCATGTTTCCATAAAATTCTCAATCATAAATTCTATCCATAAGATTTTCATCCAATGGGAAGCATTAAACACCATTCATTAAACTCTAGCAATCAAACCCAAACAATTGCATCACTCAATTCAACAAATCCTAGATTTCCCTAAACATTCATTCAAGAGAGATGAGAAATAATCATGAAGAACAAAATTCCATTCATTGCAAGAGTTTGAAAGCATAAACAAGGCACAATCTTGGGTCCAAAGGTTAAGACAAGCATCCTTACATGAGGGCTAATCCCTCATCCCATAACAAGAAAACTACTCACAATCCATGTTCAAGAACAAAGCGAAACAAGGATAAAGTGTAGAAATCATAGAGAGAGAGTAGAGAGATGCTCAAGAAGTCTTCAATCTTCAATGGAGTCTCCTCCTTCTTCTTTCTTCTCCAAGAGCTCTCCTTTTTCTTTCCCAAGGTCTCTATTTTCGGCCATCAATCGAACTTAGGGTTATGTTCAATCATTTCCCCTAAAAAACCCGAAGAGAAACGCGAAACGACGTAGCTTTGGCGGAGTCTATGCAGTGGTCCGTCCGTTCTATGGGTTGTCGCAGATGATCCCTGACTCGGACATGTTCTAGTTTAGAAGTTAGAGTTTCCCGAATCTATCAAAACTGACAATCCGATGAACCCTCGAACGTACAGTGCCTTTAGCTATTAAGTTTTCCAACCAACCAACCAAACAATTTGTAATCGCCCTTCGCTATAGCTAGAATCACAATTGACTCCATCACCTCTCGCTCCTTGTGTTCGACCCTGATACTACATCGAATACGTACCCTTGCGGAATCGACTTAGTCTAAGTTTTATTACTTGACCATCCATTCACCCAGAATGACACGATCAATGATCTATTAGGATGTGAGTTTGGGGATTAAATTTTAGAATTTCAAATTCGATATAGAGTCGAGATCGAGATTGTGGTCGGGGCCAGGGTCAAGATCAGGGTCGGGTTCTAGATCGGGATAGAAAATATGTCTATGTTTTGAATTTTTCTTTGAAATATTCCAACAAATTTCGGTTGGCAATTCGGTTGAAAAATTCTAACGGATTGCGGTTGGAAATTTTCAACGGATTGCGGTTGAAAATTCTTTGAAAAATTTTCCAACGAAAAAATCCGTTGAAATATGTTGAAAATTCCAACGGTTGTCCAACGGATACCGTTTCTCAACGATGTAATTTAAATGGATATATCCATTGAAAATCCATTGAAAACATTAATTTCCAACGGAAATTTGGCCATTTCCAATGGATTTGCCCATTAGAATGTCCCTTTTTTTAGTGCTCCTAGTGAACTGAACCGGACCAGATTAGTTTTCAAGCGGCGTTTAAATGATCAAACGTTATTTTGGGTTGAACGTCTGGGTATCATAGACCTAAACATACCGGATCCACTTGGATCCAGACCGTAATCAGTCCGACAAGCCGATTCGAAGCAAATACTGAAAAATCGGACTTATAAAGACTTGAACTCAGACCGGTTCAATCTGAACTCGGACCGTTCAATACAAGGAAGTCCAGATCATTGCAGTCTTGGTCGAATTAGTTTGTTGACTCTGATTTTGGACCTAGACAAGGTTAGTTGATCAGAGCTTGTTTCAAGCAATTGTTCCATCAGTTCAAGTGTTTGAGTCGGGATTTGGATACAAAATTAGAGGGATCTTGTACATAATCTAAGGCAAACAAATGTTGTTTGGCCAAGAGATTTTGTGCATAGACGACTCAATCGAACTAAGAGTAGTTCAACCGAGTTGATCGGAATAACTTGATTGAACTGACTTGAATTCAATCAAGTTATCCTGTTGTTCAAGTCACCATGTCTCATGTTTAATCTCAAGCTATTACCGTCCAAGCATTGAGTCAACTAGAGAATGATGGTCAAAACCATGCTATTTGGGTAGATAACTCTTTGTCAATCACATCACATGTAACTCCTAGATGAGTATGGGATAGTTATATAATATCACTGCATGTTTCTCTTCTCATCCTTACCATTAGGTCTAAATCCAACTTGATAACTCAATTCAAACTCAACCATATTCGAGCTATGAGAATCACGATTTCTCCATACTGTCTCACCGAGAAAGTCAGACACGTTCAACTAGGGCATGACCCATAACCATGACAATTGAGGACTTGACAATGATGTTCCGGGACCTGTCACAACTCTCTGAGTCGAAAACTATGTAAAAATTACGGTCCCCTTCATTTCCGTAGAAGCTCGAAATACATAGGCGAAGGCAAAAATCGAGTGAGCGTGTCGATATAACTTAGCTCGATATCGAGCTCAAAGCCTGGTCGATATTCTCGTATCGATTGTTATAAATTTGAACTTCAAAATCTCGAGCTCAAGTGATTGTCGATCTCGAGGTTCCTCCAAGTTGATACCGAGATCGAATGTTGGTTGATATCGAGGTGTTCTCCATGTCGATATCGAGGTTACTTACTCAATATGACTTTCTGACTTCGAATCTCATCCGTTCTCCTTGTCCGTTTCTTGTCTCGCAATGTCTTGTGACACTCGACTTGGTCCAATTAAGCTCTGCGAACGCCGTTTTTGCTCTTGTTTTTATCGAATTGCGCAAATATACCTGAAATTCCATCAAAGAGCAAACAAAATGGTATTCGTGCCTAAAATACCATCTAATTCCTAATTTCGTACGAAAGACGAGGTGAAAGACAACTACAACTATAGGAAAATATCATTCAAAACCGATGCTATCACTCCACTCGCAATTCCTTTCAATGGATAGCATTCTTTGTTCCAGTGATCTAACGTCGCAAAGCAAAACATTGAACTCTATTAGAATTTCTATCTCTTTTTTGACTAATTTTATGTTGCCTCATTCGTTCACAAGAGTGAGTGATTAACTGGGTCCTCTTTTTATGTGTTGATGCATAGTTTTATTTTTTTATAATCCGGAAGGTCACCAGATCTTTGACTCAACTACATCTCGTAGAAGACATGAAACTAATTAGCTAAAAAGTGTGCAGGTGTAGTCCTTGGGAAACCTGAAGCTAATTAGTTGAAAAGATAGATACGTCTGGAGGAGGTACGTATTTGCTTTGTGCTCAGCTTTTTTATCATTCACCGTGATAGTTAGGCCCAAGTGAAAAGAGCGAGAGACACTGAAGAACTGTAAACATTTTGGTTTGGAGAGTTTCAATTTGACAATAAGTAGAAAAAGAGTTAGGAGTTGTTATTAGGACAAAGAAACGTATTTTGGGTTCTGCAGTTCAACGGTTCTTAAAACTCCTTTCTCGTCCGACCGTTCGTTTGTTTAATCTCCACTCCACACTAACATGTATACTTGGAGTTAAGATAAAGAAGGCCTTGTGACCCACTCTTGTAGGCCTAATGGGTTTGCTGCTGTGCGCTCTCCTTTCAGGCCCATAAAACTCCAATTGGCTATTAATCTGCTGTATCCTACTTATGGCTTTTAAAAAAATCATAACATTCGATTCAATCTCATTTAATAAAACATTTATTCAAACAAACCTTCAATTCGGATCCGACCGAGAAGGTCGAGAGAGAGAGGCACCGAGGTCCAAGGAAGAAGTAGGTGGAGTAACGCTTTTGACCCACTTGGACCTTAAACCTTAAGACCATCAATTCCCAATATCTGATAAATGGGCTACATTATTGGAACTGAAATGCGGCCCAATTCGTCATGAAGTCGGAGCATCCTTATTATGACACGTGGCGTGGGGAGAAAACTCCAGATGCTTCACCGGCAGGTCAGGTGACACGGAATGATCTCGAGAGTTGAAGAACATATATTGTCCCTCCTAAATCTTCTCCTCCTCTGTATATAAATACGAGGAAATCTTCTTCGGCTCATTAAGAAACAGCGGTTGTCTGAATCAGCGACAAGTCTAGGCTTTTTACAGAAGAGAGCGTTCGTTGGGTTGGTGGATTGATTTGCGCCGGTAATTTGAGTTATTCGGAGCCTGTGGATCGTTCTAGTGGAATTTATCCTCTTTGTGTTCTCGACTCGATTTTCTGTAAGTTTCACTTCCTTCTCTCCCGTCTCTCTCTTGATCCTTACCTGCCACGGATTTTTCTTGTTTGGATGCCGAGAAAAGGGTCCAGATTCGTCCGGTGATTCCGCACGTTCATCTTTAACCATAATTTCTGAAAATGTAACTGATTCTGGTTCAAAGAAATGCGATTTCTTCTGTCATGGATAACTCTGTGTTGTTCTTGAGACAGCTTGTGCTCTTGCTTTGAATATCCTTCGGGTGATCTCCATGATCGCGAAGTCGTTTTCGTTACTCTAGTGATTTAATTTTATTTGAAGCTTGATGTCTTGGGAAAGCGAAATGCGTAAACCCCGCTTTGCCAATTCTTACACAAAAAGTTAACTTGTCTTGCTCTGGATCTTGCATTTGTGTTATACTCCAAGTTCGTGGTTTACCTAATCATATTGGTGTTGATGTGTCCTCCACACTTGCATCGCCTTTTACAGGAACTTGCATCAGTTCCTTATATAGGAATCTTCTAATTTAAAGAGGAGATTCTTCTCTGAAGCTGGTTGAAGATGATGCCCGTATACAGGGACATGAACATGTATCCACACCAGATGAGCCCTCATGGTTATTACCGTCTGGGATACCCATACCGTCCTCATCAAATGGGATTGGATTCGTCAATGCCCGTTTCGTGCGAGTATTGGCCTAACAGAGGTGGCCATGGACTTCCTATGCCGTGCTATGGATACTGCGTCCCTGGCAACTTCCATGGCTGTAATGGCTTTAGGCCGTTTTATCCTCCTCAAGTGCCACACCATCCTTGCTGCGGAAGTTATTCTGATTTCCACCCTGTTCACCATTCCCCTGCATATTACATTCCTCCACATGTCCCCTTTGATCACCAGCCTAGATTCGAATATGACAAGGATCTGGCCAGGGATCGTAACTGTTCTGAATGTCCCAACCATGTTTGTGACCGGAGGAATGGCAATGCCATAAGAATTGAGGAGCATGAGCCTGAAACTGAAAAGGAAAACAGAGGCAAGAGTGTTGTTCCTGTTCAGTCTACAGGCTTTCCTTTTCCAATCGTATGGGTTCCCCATGAGAGTGTTAAGAAACAAGATCATGAAAGACCTGTCGGATCAGAGGGGGAAATTACTGCTGAGGCAAAGGCTTATGAGGATACAAAGGTACTGGAGAAGGATGGCAGGTTTCCTCCACTCGTCCAGGATGCTCTGAGAGAAACCATCAGAGCATCGGGTACAGAATTTCGGAGAGCCAGAACTGAGCTCAAAGAAAGAAGATCAAAAGGTCCGACAGAGAATTATTCCTGTGAAACAAATAGAGGATCAGGGACAAAATTCAACTGAGCGAGTGGGCACCATGAAGAAGTAGTCCTCATCTCCTCCAAAATCATCCAAGTTGCCTCCAGTATGCCTACGGGTTGATCCCTTGCCCAAGAAGAAAAATGGTAATGGAAATTGCAGGTTTCCCAGCCCTCCTACGTGTAAAGGTGAGTCCTCGAGGACAGTGGAAGAATGTGCCAAACTTCCTGCTTCCCCAAGTTCCAAGAAAGAAGAACCAGACAAATCAGGGACAAAAACTAAGTCTGAGACCCACCTGAATGCAACAGGAAGGGAAAAGGAAAGAACTGAAAGTGAGGATAATCCAGAAAAGGAGGTGAAGAAGGTCCAAAGTACAGAAGATAAGGAGCATACTAGAGGTGATGAAGCTGTGAACAGACAGAAGCCGGTAAAGAAGACATTTTCCAGTGATGAAGCGGCCACAGTTATCCAGTCTAGATACCGTGGATACGAGGTGAGGAGATGGGAGCCATTAAAGAAATTGAAGCTAATGGTGAAAATCCGTGAGAGAATGCTCGATGTCAAAAACCGTATCCAGGTGATTGAGGGTTCCACTGATCACCAGAACTGTGAGAAGGAGATAGCAGTTGTAGGAGAAATGGTGATGAGCTTTCTGTTACAATTGGATGCTATTCAGGTATGCATGGAAACCAGCTATTACATCAGTTCATAAGTTCTCTTTTATGATATGTGATCCAGTTGCTCGTCATGGGTCATCACTGATAAGATCTTGTCTTCCTCTTCTTGAACGGTCAGGGTTTACATCCAAGTATCAGAGATGTCAGAAAATCCTTGGCCAAAGAGCTGTTGAGCTTACAGGAGAAACTTGACTCTCTGAAAAAGAGCAGAGCCATGATGGAGGAAGTGTCCATTGCAAAACAGGTGGAGGCTACTGGTGAAGCTGTGGAAGACAAAACTTACTCCGAGGCAAGTGAGATTCAGCCTGCAGAGAAACACAGAAAGGTGTCTGATCCAATTACAGAGGAATCTGCTGATCCTCTCGGACCTCTCCCATCTTCTTCCGAGCCTCTTCTGACCGTTGAGAACGAGACCAGCCAACAGGTATCGTCTTCAAAAGAAGAAGAGCCTAAGTTGGTTGAGATCTCTGTGCAGAATCAAGAAGAAGATACTGCACAAGCTACTGAAACACAAGATGAACCGAGCATATGTGACTCAGAAGCTACTGCCGAGGCAGTCATTTCAGAGGTATTGGAAAAGGATGAAGCATTTCAAAAGACTACTCCATCGGTAAATCCACCCTCAGCCGAAGAAAAGGAAACCACGATGACTGGCAATGAGAAAGTAGAGTTCGTGGAGGCAAGTTTGGAACTAATGAAAGAATTGCCACAGCATGTGGAAGGGAATGAGAATCCAACCCACGAGATAGATGAGAACGAAAATGCTGAAGCTGTAGCCGTTGTGTTGCAGAATACAGACAGCTCATTGCCCTCGAAGAACAATGCGGAACTCCTGGAGCTTCCTATTGGAGTGATCGAAGAACAGCAAGATACTTCACATGCCGAGGTGCAAAAATCATCACCTTGTACTCTTGAAGCTTCTGCTGACACTCCCTCTGAACCAGTGATGGTACAAAGCGACACTGAACCAGACACAGAGGTTGATCAGCAGAAACAAGAAGAAACTAATAACAACAATGAAGATACAACAGTCACGGAAGGAGACAACTCTGTCGAGGTGGGGCATCTTCGAGAAACTCCGGAGAATATTGACGGTGGAGATGGTGATACTCTCAAACCGGAAACACTGTGTCAGGAAACCGACATGAGCCAAGGCACTGACCAATCAAATGATCTCCTGGAAGCAATCGAACTGAACCACCAATCTGGTGGTATTGCAGAAGAAAATACGATAATGGATGCTGAAACAGACACGGCACAAGTAGAAGAAGGGGAGGCATTACCTACAGAAGCATGGGTCGTGGCAGAAGAGACATCAGGGGGAGACAAGAAACTAATGGAAGAGAACCAGAGATTGATGGAAGCAATGGAGAAACTCATGGAAGCGGGGAGAGAACAGTTGGAGGTAATAACGAGCTTGAACAATAGAGTGAAAACCCTCGAGAAGAAGCTGTCGAGGAAGAAGAAACGTCAGCCGGGTGGTCGTAGCAGTAGGCAATACTGTGGTAAACTCGTAAAAAACGCAACAAGAGCAAAGGCCCCAACTCTGCAGCTGTAATGTAAGAAGAGGCATAACGATCTTTTTTCTTTTTTTCTTTTTTGGGTAAAGAGAGGTATAAGGATCTTATCCAGTCCTGTGTCGCGTGTATGATTGTGTGTTCACTACCCCGTGCGGGATTGCAAGAATCTGTTCTGATGTGTGTCCGTGTGAGATGATGCCCACTTTCAGTTCTGTAATTCAACGGTTCTTAAAACTCCTTTCTCGTCTGACCGTTCGTTTGTTTAATCTCCACTCCACACTGATATGTGTACTTAAGAGTTGAGACGACTAAAGAAAGATAAAGAAGGGAGTGACCCGAATGGGGTTGCTACTGTGCGCTCCTTTCCGGCCCATCAAACATTTTCTTTATATGGCTATAAATCTACTACATCCTACTTATGGATTATTTTTGGACTCTTCAAAAATTATAACCAATTAACCATATTATATTCGATTCAATCTCGTTTAATAAGACATTTATTCAAACAAACTGATAGATGTGTGGGTTATGTAGATTCATTGAATCTGGACTATAGTAGTATGCGTTGTTTTGGCTATTAGTATTAGTTTGTTAGTAGTTGTCGCAATGAATAGTTATAAATACAGATTAGATAGAGAAGAAAGGAGGGGGGGAGAAAATTCAGAAAAGGTTAGAGTTTGTTTGGGGAGTGAGAGTTGGGATCCTCTCATAAAACAATATCATCCAAAGTTATATTCAGGTTTTCGGTGAGGAATAGAGGCTCGATTGGTGCTGGAAAGTTGAGTTTCATAGTCTGAACCTTAACAGATTGGTATCAGAGCCCGTCTTCAATCGGAAATGGCAGAAACCCATGAGCAACGAATGGCGCAGTGGGACAGAATAGAGGAAATGTTGTCGAAGCTGTGTCGGTGGATGGAGTCCGATCGCGATCGTCGGAATTCGACAACCTGGTCGAATCTGGCGCCAGCAACGGTAGCCGACAAGAAGCAGACAAATCGCGATCCAGATCCGCAGATCGATTGCGATCAAGCACCGGAGAACCTTCCGGAGGTTCGAGAGGTGAATCCGCAGCCGAAAGAGGAAGGCGATGCGCAGCAACAGGAGCGATTCATCGGAAAAGGCAGTTCACACCTCAAGGTGATGCCGATCGCGTTCGTCGACCACGTACAGGCTAATCACGACCAGAACATGCCGATCGGGGACTTGCCGACCAATCGCAACAAAGTCCCAAAGGATCCGACAGCTGCTGGTTTTACAGATTCATGTGATGGGAGAATACGTAACAAAGCTCTTTCAGATCGATTCATCGGGAAGACTGATTCGCACATGAAGAAGACGACAATTCCGGTGTTCGATGACAGCTTCATTCTGGAATGGGATGTCAAAACTGAAAGGTACTTTGGATTTGATGGTTGTTGTGACAAGGAGATGTTTTACCTAGATTCTACAGATTTGGGTGGGGAAGCTCTGATGTTGTTCAATGGCCAGAAAAAAATTGGGATGTACCATGATTGGGAAATTTTTAGACTCTTATTATATGATCGTTGTGGCACTCGTATAGAGCGGAGGAGGAAGACATGTGATGATGCAATTATTAGTGGGGTGGTGTCTCAATCAGAGAAAGGGATATTTCTGCCGTTTGGATTGAACAAGCAGTCAGATTGGGCAAACAGGACATATCAGAAATTGCGGAAGCAGGCCATTGGAAATGAGTTCCAGCCAGCTCCGAATCAAAAACAACTTTTGGCAGACTTGGAATGGTTAGTGGAGCTTAAACAGATTTTGGACAGCCATTATACTACCTCGGAAAGTTAGAAGTCGACGAGGATTTGAACGAACGAATTCCGGATCATCAGCTTGAGGACAAGCTGAAACTCAGGCGGGCGGTATTGATAGATGTGTGGGTTATGTAGATTCATTGAATCTAGACTATAGTAGTATGCGTTGTTTTGGCTGTTAGTATTAGTTTGTTAGTAGTTGTCGCAATGAATAGTTATAAATACAAATTAGATAGAGAAGAAAGGAGGGGGGGAGAAGATTCAGAAAAGGTTAGGATTTGTTTGGGGAGTGAGAGTTGGGATCCTCTCATAAAACAAGATCATCCAAAGTTGTATTCAGGTTTTCGGTGAGGAATAGAGGCTCGATTGGTGCTGGAAAGTTGAGTTTCATAGTCTGAACTTTAACACAAACCTTCAATTTTTTTTATCATTTTTACTAAATTCAATTCGAATTTTTTCATATTTTAAAAAAAAACATGACCATTCGAATTCAGTTTAAATATGTACTAATGGACCAACATATGGTGTATGGGCTAAACCAGAACCGGAAATAAAAGCAGTTCGGAGTCGTGAAACCCTGAGAGGGGACGCATGGACGGGATGGACCACCGTTACCTGGCTGATGAGGTTTCCATCAATTTGCGGACAGAGTGCCAAGGCATACGACTGAGCAATAGTTGAAGAAAACTGAGATGATGATGAAGACAACAACAAAGAGATTACGGGGGGAGAGGTCAAAAGCCGGAGGAGTCGACAAGGGCAGAGTAGGACGCGTTTTCATCAGAGGCCGTTGCCTTCTTTGCGGCGGCATCCATACTTACCCTCCCCTTCCTGCTGCTGGACTTGAACACT